CCCCCCCTTAAAGCGGCCGCGTTCTCTGGCTCCGCGGGCGGGAGTCGCAACCAACGCGACCGCAACCGCGTCCCCCGTGCGCGCGCGCACTTTCTCCGTCGCCTCTCGCTCGGTACGGGAATCTGAGGAGCCCCCGCGACGGCCCTGGCAGGTCACCCTGGTGTGCATACGTGGACAAGCGCTGGAAGATTGCTATTTTTAACATTTCCATATTGTTTACCGTGGGGAAAAAATCCCACAATTCCTTGCACAAAAATGCATAAATGATATTAAATGAGCTGCCGAGATACAAAGGCTCTCTTGGAGTCGCTTTCCTTGCTGGTGGAGAGGGAAATTGTCACTTACATTTGACTTTGGTAACCCGGCAGATTCCTGTCCTAAACGCAGAGACGGCGCGCAGGACCCACCTCCTGCAGACACTTAAGTGTAAGCGTGCGTGTGTGCGTGTCGTGTGCAGGCCGGCGCGTGCAGACCGTAGGATTCCACCCGGGACGCCGAGCCTCATGAAACATGCATGGAGACCCTGAAGAGCGCGGGAATACGATTTGGGGCTCCGAGTCGGAAGGAGAAGTAAAGGAGCATAGCGCGTTATAACTGATGCTTTTTTAGGAAGGCGCGGATGACTGACAGTTCAGCCAAACCTCGGGAACCACGCAGAGAGAAACCGCCCCAGGGCAGCCGCACCCCCCAGCTCCCAGTCAGTCCCCGGATCCTCCACCCCCAGTCTCTATCCCCACTTGTGGAGCTATCCAGACATTCATCTCATTTTCTCTGTCTTAAAATCCTTTAAACTAGTTTCTCGGGAGAGTAGGGTCCATCTGAACGGGGAATTGAACTCACATGGGGGTGTAGGCCGGCCCCAGTTTGTTCTCCCCTCCTCCCTTTCTCTGTCCCCTCCTAAACTGCCCGTCCAGCTGCTGTCAGAATGTCCAGCCTGAACTTCTGCTCCATCCCCCCTCCCTCTGGCTCCGTCCTGTTTGCTTTTTACCCTGGGCTCCCAGCTGCAGACACCCCACCAAACTCCGCTGTTACCCCAGGCATACCCATCCATCATTTAAAATGCACTTTTATGGAAAATTTTGAACTCGGAAAAAATGCACAAAAGGGCAACTCTGAGAGTGTGGGAGTGTTGACAGAATAAAAGTACCCTCTCAGTGGAAAGAGGGATAGGAGGGGGAGAGGAACAGAGCAGGGTGCCCTAGGTCTGGCCTGTCCAGGTGGCTGTGGGTGCCCAGCAGCTGAGACCTCCTGCGGAGCCAGCTCTGGGCTCAGAGAGCCGGGATACAGTAGGGGCAAGCAGCTCTCCAGGCAGTGTGATCGCCAGGCCACTGTGAGGCATCCCCTCAGCCGGGCTCAGCTCTCCTCATGTCCCCACCCAGGTCCTGTCCTCTCTCCGCCCCAGCCCTGTCCACCCCCTGCAGGCTTCAGGGTGCAGACCAGGGCGGGAGAAGAAACAGCTGTTATAAGGTGCGGCTCCCAGGGAAGCTGACTCTGGGGAAGAAGTGGCCGAAGGGCTGCTGTGCTGGGTCACCTGGCCAGGAAAGGTGGAGGAGGCGGGTAGGTGGGCTGGGTGTGTGCCCTGGAGGCAGATGGACAGGTTTGTCCATCCCAGGACACCCAGGCAGTGTGGGGAAGCCACTGCTTACTGGGGGTGACTCATATTCCTGTCCCCTCATTTCCCCCTCATTGGAGGATCCCTCACCAATTATCTGGCTAGGTATGCACCTGCCAGGGGCCTTCCCTGGGTCCCGAAAAATGAAACCCCATGGTCTGCCTGCCTTTAGAAAATGGGGCTGGTGAGGTTTGTGGAAACAACCTATTCATACGTTAGGGGTTTTTGAGAGGAAAATTTCCTCCAGCTGTGGGAACCCTTATCCTCACCAGCTAGGGAATATCCATTTACTTTTGGTCTCCAAACTCAGAGTGAATGGAAGGAAGGTCCAGGGCTGCTTTGCTCTCTACAAAGCCTTCCCAGGTTAATTTCTCCTCCTGTCCCATGAAAACCAATTAGGTCTTCTCCTGAGACTTTCTGATTTCTGGGGAAACTTTGCCTCTGATGGCCTTTGCATTCAATGGGTTCAAGGTGCTGGACTTGAGCTGTGCTCTTTCCTGCCACCCAGCCCCAAATTCATGGCTGCAGCACGAGCTCTGCAGAGCAGCACATTTTCTGTAGGCAAACAGTCCGTTTGTGGGCAGCAACCCGCCGACACCCGGCCTCCAGGCCCCGTGGTCAGGCTGGTCTGAGGATGAAGGCAGATTTCTGAGTTGCTGTCCAAGAGAGGGGAGCGCAGGTGCAGGAGGAGGAGGAAGAGAAAGGAAAGAGGACAGAAGTAATTAGAGGGCAGCATCAGGCCACCCAAAGGTGACCCAGGCATGACAGGCATTCCAGAAAAGGTGCCCCATGAGATTGAACAACATCTAAAGGGCCAGAAACGGGGTTAGGGGAATCTGGGTTGAAACTGCAGAAAGCTGGTTTGCCCCCCGGACTGAGGGAATCTTAAATCTTACACAGATAAGGGCAATCACCTGTCTCAGGAAGCTTCTAAAACCTGCAGGATGCCCGGGCCTCCTGCCAGGTCTGAGACCCTGCCCTGGCTGTGTATTGACGGGGTGCCGAGGAGTGGCCCTGTCCAAGCCTCTCCTCCGGGAGTGGAGATGCCAGCCCTGCTGCCCCGGGCTACGCAGCCCTGCGCCTGGAGAGCCGCTCCTCTTCCCGCCGGGGACAGCCACCGCCGCGCTCAAGGCTGGCTTCTCTGTGCGCCATCGGACGAACCACTACTAGATATTTGTTTCTCCTCAAGTGAAGCCTAGGCCCCCGGGATCCTGACCCCCTTCTCCCACCGGGTCCAAGGGAGTGCCCGCAAACCACCCGCTACGGAGAACTGCCCTCCCTGGGCTGCCTGCACAGGAGGGGCCGAGATGCTGCAGAGGAAAGCCGGCTTCGGACGCAGCACATTTGTAGCTTCGACGCTGGGATTGCAATAAAATCTTGTGCAGGGCTGCGGATGGCAGGAGCGCTCGTGGAGATGCTGCATGCCTGGCTGCCGATGCGGCCTCCCGTTTCCTCTTAAAACGAGGCCGGTGGAGGGTGACTTTCCAGCTGTCCTGCTGTCTCCTCACTACCCACACTTCCCCAGGTGGGCGTGGGGACACTCGGGGAAAGAAAGAACGAGGTGAGAGCAACATTGCCTCGCGAGGGTCCTTGTCACTCGGTTGGTAGAGGCGCCCAACAATTGCTGAGACCGAAGTCTCCACGCCAACAAAATCAGGCCGGGAGCCCCGCGTGTCTGCGCCCTGGGAGCCAGCGCGGAATCGCGCGAGCGGGGAGGAACCTCCAGCCCAGCGGAGGGCCATCCTTGGCTCCCTGGGCTGCCACTGCACCCCCGCCTGTAGACAAAGGCCGCAGTGAAGGGGCACCGGGAACAGGGGGTGTTGGGCGGGGCAGCGGGTGGTGGCGGTAGTGCGTCGATGCCCTCACCTCCGAGCGAGCGAAGCACCGGCCTGCAGACCCAACAGGAGGACTTGCGGGCCAGAGTCGCAGAGGCTGAGCCCGGTCAGGAACCTCGGAGGCACCCAGAAAGTAGAGTTAAAAGCAACCTTGGCTGGGCCTGCAAAGGGCCAGAAATGTGGTGGGGAAAGGCGTACAGGGACCCTCTTGCTCAAGCCACACCTCTCCCTGTTCCCAGCCCGCAAGGGGTGCCCAGGTCCCTGGAGGTGCCGAGTAGTGCCACAGAGTGCCTGGTGGTTGGGTGTGTGGGCGCCTGCGAAGACTGGGCTGAGGAGGGCTGTGGGCAGACAGCGGCATTGCCCATCTGAGCCCTGCCCTGAGAGCTGGTGAAGTGTCTTGTGCAAAACAAAAGTGCCCTGGGTGTAGGGTAAGAAGTGGTGAGCCACCCACTGCAGACCGCCTACCTGTCCAGGTCACAGAGAGAGGACCTACTTCTGGGGCTGGGCCCCAGTACTAGGCTGGGAGAGCTGGGGAGATGGAGGATGGGCAGGCCTCCAGGGCTAGAAACTAGGGTGCAGACAGCATCCTGAACCTGTTTTCTCATGCAAACAGGCTTCTTTCTAAAAGGGAATTCCCCAGGGTGGCTCTCCTTGGGTTGGTAAACCCACACCCAACCTCACTCTTCTCTCTTGGCCCCACTGTCCACCCTCCCTTGGCTTTCTGCAGGACCCTGTTACTTTTGCCTTAAATGACCCGACTTCGGATTCCTCGGGAATCACCTTTTATCCTGGCGAGGGCCCTTCCCCGCTCAGTCATCTTTTCTCACTGCTGTTCTTAATCACAGGAAAGTTTGGACCCCTCTGGAGGTTGTGCCCACGTGCACTCCA